AGTGACCCAGCTCAGCAAGGAGAAACGAGAGCCAGCGAGCCTCCTGAGCCGCCAATGTGCCTGCGTACAACTCAGCCTCGCAGGTGGAAAGGCAGACAGAGGATGAGCGAGTAGAGCGCCAGCTGATGAGGCCACTGCCAAGAGTAAAACCATAACCCTGAGAGGAACGGCGATCAGGGCGAGAATCAGCGTAGGAGGAATCACTGTAACCGGAAAGAATGGGGGGAGAAGAGCCACCAAGAGTGAGTGCAAGATCAGAAGTAGCGCGTAGATAGCGGAGAACGCGCTTGGCAGCTGCCCAGTGCACGTCAGTGTGGCGACCAAGGCCAACAAAGCGAGAGAGGACACTGAGGGGGTAGGCAAGATCGGGGCGAGTGCACATCATAGCATACATGAGGGACCCAACGAGCTCAGGATAGGGTCGGAATTCTGAGGAGGGAGCGGGAATGGCAGGGGCAGTAAGATGATGGTTAGCGGGAAGAGGAGTGGAAACTGGCTTGGCCTGCGACATTTCAAAGCGCTCAAGAATGGAGTGGATGTAGAAGGATTGAGAGAGAGAGATGGTGCGCGAAGCACGATCATGACGGATCTCCATGCCGAGGTAATGACGAAGCTCGCCAAGATCCTTGCACAGGAGACGCGCCTGGAGGGCCTGCTTGACAGAGGCAAGGTCGGCAGAGTCTTCAGCGAGGAGCACCAAGTCATCGACGTAGGCAAGAATGTAAAGCCTGTGGGGGGAAGTGCGAATGAAGAGACTGGGGTCGGAGGTGGAGGTAGAGAAGCCAAGAGAGTGAAGAGTGGAGGCGAGCTTGGCATGCCACTCGCGTGGAGCCTCCTTGAGACCATACACAGGGCGCTTCAGCTCCCAGACAGTGCCTGGAGGGAAGGGGCGAGGAAAGCCAGCGGGGCGCTCAAGGAATATGCGCTCATGAAGCTCGCCCTGGAGAAAGGCATTGGAGACATCCATAGAATGGATCTCCCAATCCCAGCGAGCACCTAGGTCAAGAAGGAGGCGAAGGGTGGGGAGACAAGCGGTGGGTGAGTAGGTAGCAAAATAGTCAATGCCTTCGCACTGGGTGAAGCCCTTAGCGCAATAGCGGGCTTTGAAGATAGGGAGCTCCCCAAGCAGCTGTTTGACACGAAAGACCCATTTGCCCTTGACAATGGTGGCGCCAGGGGGGGGGACAGAGTCAACGTAAGATTGGGTTCTAGTGAATGCCTCACACTCGGCAATGATGGCAGCCATCCACTCAGTTGCATGAAAGCCAGACACTGCCTCGGAATAGGTCTGAGGGGTGGGAATAGCCGCAGTGTCAACTGAGAGAAGAGTGGGAGAATTGGAGTAGTCGCCAATGGTGACACAGAGGAGGGGTGAAACGGGATGAACAGAGAACAGCTCTTCAAATTGATCCTCGAGAAGATCGACGTTTTGAGAGGGAGAGAGACGAGTAAAGAGAGCAGAGTGTTGAAAATTAGACATTGCACGGGTCATGGAGCGGGTGAGACGCGGAGAAGGTGGAGGAGCAGGAGCAGAAGGAAGGGTAGCAGAAGGAGATGGATGTTGTGAAGGAGAGGGCACGGGAGCGGAAGAGGAAGAGGCAGGAGGAGAGGTGCCAGAGATGACAGCAGAGGGGGGGGTGGAGGGGGCAGGGAGGGGAGACGGAGCAGGGGCAGGAGGAAGGGGATAAGGAGAGGGAGCAGCAGAGTGCAGCGGATCAAAGTCAGACCAATGAAAGAGGAAGGAGGAGGGGTGGGAAGGGGTGTGAGGAATGGAGAACGAGTCTCATCAAAGATAACGTCCTGGCTGCGAATGAGCTGCTGAGAGGAAGGAGCATAGAAAAGATAGCCAGGACATGTTATGTGATGCTATCATCTGCATTCACGTCTGTCTGCCTCCCATCATATGTTCGTGCATTGCATGCGTGGTGTGAGCGTGTGCAAGAATTTGTATTTGGTGTGGTTTGGATTTTCTGAGTGTGTGTGAATGTTATTTGGCTTGAGCAGATATCTGAAGTGACTCCTCTGCTCGAGAGCATTCCGACGAACCAAGGATCGCTTCAATCGGAGCACGAACACGAAAGTTACGAACATTTGAAGTTCGTATGCTTTTGATATTTGGTTGTGGCGACTATGGGAAGTTGTGGGGTTGACTCCATAAGGGGTATAGACATTTGGGGGTTGGGAAATTCGTCACTTCTACTGTAGTTGCTGCCATGTGGTTGGGAAAACCCAAACCAGGTTGGCAAGTGTGGCCAAGTTGGGGTGAGGTGGATTGTGGAGGTTGGGAAAGTGACAAAGGTCAAAGTTGGGGTGCCTATAGGGAAGGGATTTGGTGTGACTATGGGGTTTCCTTGGTTGGGGACTCATTGGGGACCTTCCCTCTCGTCCTCCTCTTCCCTCCTACCTGGTTTATTGCTACTCTAACTTTCTTGTGTGAACTTGTGAGTAAATTGTGATTGAGTTAAGTTTCTATGGCAGCATACCCCCTAGTGCGCCGAAATTCATAACTCGAGTTATACCCCATATTTTGGTACGATTCAAATTGGGAAAGATAGCCACGGTAAAGGGCTACAACATAATCGAGTTTGAGAGAATTCTAACCGTGCGGTTTTCGTCGACGACGTTTCTTGTGACGACGAGTTTTCTGTCCAGAATTATAGTTGACGATTTTGAGATATTTCGTCCCCTAATCTTCATAGACTCTGTCCTTAGTCTCTAACAGGACAGTCAGCGTTGATGCCAATGAACGCACAGAGCTGCGTCTTGGGAGCGAGCTTCCCACCCTGACGTGCTCGATCGGCGGGATTGATGAGGACATGAGCGACACAGCCCCACACCCGAAGAGGGCGGGCGGAGGGCTGGCGGCCAGTCCAGAGCTGGAAGGGTGTAATGGAAGGGCGAAGGGGATGAGGGCGAAGGTTGGAAAGAAGAGTGGCATGAACAAGGGCGTAGCTCCAAAGAGAGTGTGGAGCAGAGGCATGAGTAAGGAGGCAGCGGGTGATCTCCATGAGAGTGCGAATACGACGCTCGGCAACACCATTCTGTTCGGGAGAATGCGGAAGGGTGGAGGTTTGGCGAATGCCATGAGAGGAGCAGTAAGAAGAGAGAGAGTGGTTAAAGAACTCGCCACCACCATCAGAGTGGAGGCGTGCGATAGGACAGCCAAAGCGAAGGCGCGTCTGCTCAGCCCAGCGAATGATGAGGGAGGGGGCGTCAGATTTGGCACGGAGGGGATAGACAGTGGCAAAACGAGAGTGGTCATCGACAAGAAGGAGAAAGTAACGATGACCCTGACGAGAGGCAATGGGAGAGGGACCCCAGAGGTCCATATGCACAAGATCAAGGGGTTTGGGGGAGGCAGAAGGGGAAGAAGGATGAGGAGATCGGGAAAGCTTGGCTTGAACACAAGGGGTGCACGGAGGAGCGGGAGAGGGGGGGAGGGGCGGGAGAGAGGAAGGGAGATCATGAAGCAGCTTCGAGTTGACCATGCTGCGAAGGAGAGGGAAGTTGGGGTGGCCAAGGCGATGATGGAGAAGAAGGGTAGGTTGGGTGAGAGAGCGACAGTCGCAAGAGGAGACGGGAGGGGCAGAAGAAGAGGAGGTGTGATGGACAGATGAGGGGATGGGAACACGAAGGGTGTAGAGGCGAGTAGTAGGAGAAAGGGTGAAACGAGCGAGGTGCCGATCGTGGTAATGAAGATCACAATAGAGTGCACCTGCGGGGAAGAGCGCTCGCACACCCAGGCGTTGGAGGGCAGGGAGGGAGAGGAGGTTATGACGGCAAGAGGGAACATAAAGGCCAGTAACAGCGCCAGAGGGAGAGGCAGGACAGGGAAGAGAGGAAGTGCCAGTGCAGATCATGGTCATGGTCTCCCCAGCCCCATCAATGGAGAGGGGACGAGGAAAATTGCGAAGGACACCGGCATCACGAAAGACAGAGTCAGTAGCAGCACTGTCAAGGACGAAATCCAAGGTGCGAGGAAGTGAGAGAGCGGCAGCCATAGGGCTGAGAGGGTGAGAAGCAGTGTTTTGAAGAGGTGGAGAAAATGGAACGACAAAGCGAGGGTTCATAAGGGGAGAGGCACCAAGGATGCTGTCCTGAGATGGTATGGTCACACTGAAGACAGAGGTCAGAGAACAAATACCAGAGGTTACAGCGGCAGAAGAGCGGCGATGCTGATGGGACAGCGGCACCCAAGCAGAGGGGTGGAGAAGAGGGGAGGTCCAGCGGCAAGTAGGAGAGGTGCAAGGGGAGGAAGGGGCAGCGAAGGGAGCCGAGAGTAGGGAAGGCAAGGGTAGGAGAGGAGGTACAGCAGGAGGAGGGTGAGGGGGGAAGCGTAGAGGAAGAGAGGTAAGAGCGAAAATAGGCCCCATCAGGGGGAGGGGATAGCAATGGAGCAGATACCGGGAGATAAAAGAGGAGGAGGCATAGGGGCGATGTAGTCAGCTGCTGAGCCGGTGAGGGGAGAAATAAGAGGAGGAGGGATAACGGCGGAGTAGTCTGCTGCTGCGCCGCTGAGGGGAGAAATAAGAGGAGGAGGGAAAACGGCGGAGTAGTCTGCTGCTGCGCCGCTGAGGGGAGAAATAAGAGGAGGAGGGATAACGGCAGAGTAGTCTGCTGCTGCGCCGCTGAGGGGAGAAATAAGAGGAGGAGGGATAACGGCGGAGTAGTCTGCTGCTGCGCCGCTGAGGGGAGAAATAAGAGGAGGAGGGATAACGGCGGAGTAGTCTGCTGCTGCGCCGCTGAGGGGAGAAATAAGAGGAGGAGGGTAACGTCGGAGTAGTCAGCTGCTACGCCTCTGAGGGGAGAAAATAGAGGCGGAGGAACAGAGTGGGGAAAGAGCACGGCTACGAAGCAAGGCCGGCAACCAGCTGCAGCAGTAGAGGAGAGGAGAGAGGCGGAGGAGAGAATGAGATTGAGAGGGGAATAAAGGGAGAGAGAAGAGGAGGAGGAGGGTGAAGGGGCGGATGGTGAGGAGGGGTAGGTCTTGGTGAGTAAGGTTACGAAGCAAAGCCGGCAACCGGCTGCAGCAGTAGACGAGAGGAGAGAGGCGGAGGAGAGAGTGAGATGGGGAGGGGAATGAAGGGAGAGAGGAGAGGAGGAGGAGGGTGAAGGGGCGGATGATGTAGAAGGGTAGATTTTGAGGAGGGGAAAGAGGCGGAGGAAAAGGTGAGATAGTGAAGGGAATTAGAGGGAGGAAGGAGAGGAGGAGGATGGTGAAGGGGCGGATGGTATGAAGGGTAGATTTTGAGGAGGGGAAAGAGGCGGAGGAAAAGGTGAGATAGTGAGGGGAAGTAGAGGGAGAAAGGAGAGGAGAGGATGGTGAAGAGGCGGAGTGTGGGAAGAGGAGTAGATAAGGAGAGAAAATAGGAGGAGGAAGAGGTGAGGTGGTGGGGGGAAGCACAAATGAGAGTGGAAAGGAGGAGGAGGGTGAGGGAGGGTGGACGGATTGAGGAAGGGGAGAGCCCGGCACAAGGAAAGGCAGGCGCGCGCGCTGCTGGACAGTGCGACGCGCGCGTGGCGGCGGAGGCGCAAGGGGCGCGCGACGGGACGGCGAAGGCGGGGGGGGGGGGGGGGGGGGGGGGGGGGACGGCAGAGCGCGCTTCGGGCGGAAATGTGCGCGCTACCGTCAGAAACGTGAGGAGGAGGAGGCGCGACGAAGAGGGAAGGCGCGAGAGGGTGATGTGGGCTGTAGGGAGGCGCGCTACGGACTGAAAAGGGGGATTCGCGAGAGTATAGTGTGACTGCAAACGCGAATGCTAGGAGTGACGGGAAAGAAACGAGGAAATAAAAATCGTTTAGCTAAGTCGCGCGGAAATGGCCTAAGGGTCTGAAACTTTCTAGGAAATGCGGATAAGGATGAAACGCCTAGGACTAGGCTCTGAATACCATGTTAAGATTGAGAATATGGCCGCCATGTTTAGCTAGAGAGAAAGTAGCGAGAAAGGTTGTACTAGGAAAGAGTGTCGAGATACAAAAGTAGGAAACCCTAATTAAACTTAGGGTGCGTTCAGTTTGTGCTAGAAACTAAGAAATGAACCTAAACTGAACTAAAATTGTAACTCGCTCTAAACATGGTGAAATAACAAAAGAACACCATGATAAATGCCAGAGCGAACTCTAGCCTACTCCAACAGTTGCTGAGTCTGAGTCTGAGTCTGTCTGTCCTCCGTCCGGCGGGGGTGAGTGTGCTCTTGGCACGGGCGTCCTTGAGGACAGACAGGAGGAGTTTGAGTGCTTTGCCGCTGCTTTACCTCATCTCGTGTCCATGCTGATTGCCCCTGAGGGAGACCCGGATGCACCAGACATCCCGACCCCGCGCTCTTACGCAGAGGCGATAGAGGGTCCCTACTCCTCTCAGTGGCAGACAGCCATGGACGCAGAGATGGCTTCCTGGAAGTCCACAGGCACCTACGTCAACGAGGTTCCCCCACCTGGGGCGAACATCGTCAGTGGCATGTGGATTTTCAGGGTGAAGCGGCCGCCGGGTTCTCCGCCTGTCTTCAAGGCGCGTTACGTTGCACGAGGCTTCAGTCAGCGAGAGGGAGTCGACTTCTTCCAGACCTTCTCCCCTACCCCGAAGATGACCACTCTTCGGGTTCTGCTGCACGTCGCCGCTCAGCGTGACTACGAGCTTCACTCTCTTGACTTCAGCACTGCTTTCCTACAGGGCAGCCTGCACGAGGAGATCTGGCTGCGCCGCCCACCTGGCTTCACTGGGTCGTTTCCTCCTGGTACCCAGTGGAGCCTCCGGCGGCCAGTCTACGGTCTCCGCCAGGCACCCCGTGAGTGGCACGACACACTGAGGACGACTCTTGCTGCTCTTGGGTTTGCTCCTTCTACTGCAGACCCGTCGCTGTTTCTACGCACCGACACCACTCTGCCGCCATTCTACGTTCTCGTGTACGTAGACGACTTGGTCTTTGCTACTTCTGACACTGAGGGACTCGCCCACGTGAAGTCGGAGCTGCAGAAGAGACACACGTGCACAGACCTGGGTGAGCTGACAAGCTATCTTGGCTTGCGGATCACCCGGGACAGAGCACAGCGCACCATTACCTTGACTCAGTCACACATGGTGCAGCAGGTCCTTCAGCGCTTCCGCTTCACGTACTCCTCGCCACAGTCCACTCCTCTGCCTACCGGTCACTCGCTCTCAGCTCCACCTTCGGACGAGTCCGTAGAGCCGAGTGGCCCGTATCCAGAGCTTGTGGGCTGCCTCATGTACCTGATGACCTGTACTCGACCTGACCTTGCCTACCCTCTTAGCATCCTAGCACGCTATGTCGCAACTGGCCGACACAGGAAGGAGCACATGGATGCTGCTAAGAGGGTGTTGCGCTACTTGTGCAGTACGTCGGGCATGGGGCTCGTGCTTGGAGGACGGGCTCGAGTTGTCCTCACTGGTCACGCAGACGCTTCTTGGGCTGACGACTTGGCTACGCAGCGGTCGTCACAGGGTTACACCTCCAGCCTTGGCTCCGGCTCTGTTTCTTGGCGGTCTACCCGCTCGTCTTCTGTTCTCAGCTCCAGTTGTGAGGCTGAGATCTACGCAGGGGCCATGGCTGCACAGGAGTTACGCTGGCTCACCTACCTGCTGACTGACCTGGGAGAGTTGCCTCGTTCTCCTCCAGTGCTGTACGTCGACAACAAGGCCATGATTGCCTTGTGTCAGGAGCACAGACTGGAGCACAGAACGAAGCACATCGCTCTGCGCTACTTCCTTGCTCGAGAGTTGCAGCAACGTGGTCAGCTTCGTCTTGCTTACGTGGCCACTCAGGCCAACACTGCTGATGTCTTCACCAAGGCACTCCAGCCTTGTGATCATCAGCGTTTCTGTACTGTTCTAGGCCTTGTGCCTACTGTGCCTCACTTGCTTACTTCTTGACTCTGCTTGTACTGTGATCTCTATACATATACCTGCATGCTTACACTTGCTAGGTTGTGATCACTGTAGTGTTTGTTCTCCTTTATATAACTCTGCTTGTGAACTGGCCTTGTGGCCATTTGCTTGTGCTCGGAATGCGTGGTGACGTCGTGATCCACACTGAGCTTGTTTTGCCTCTCTTGACCGGTCTTGTGACCTCTTGTTCTCCCCCACTTTGCCTATGGGGGTGTGTCAAACTTATATGCTATAGTCTATGTAGGTTGTAGTGGGGTAGTTCATATAGGGTACAACACTTTTAGGTTTCCTACTTGTACCCACCTTCTTTCTAGTTCAGTCATTCCTTTGTTCTCATTCTGACATACTCCTATTTTAAAATCATCTTGTTTTCTTTCAACTATTATTGACAAGGTCATTACAAAGACTTCAATTGCCTTCTTACAACTTGGCTAGCCTTATCCTATCTACTACGATTCCCGGTTATATCAACAACGTTTTACTGTAGGGTGTTGTTGTCGGGAATAGTCATGTACGCGGTAAGGAGGGGCGCGAATTAAAGAGGAATTTTCCTTGCAAAATTCCTTACAACACTAGTCTCATACGGTAATCGCCTCTTCTACATTGACTCTGCGTAGCGTACTCTTCTTGTACATGGCCTCTCAATCAGGGCCCTAGATATCATACCTTTTAGTCTGATTCAGAGTCCGTTCATACTTTTTTTTTGTACCTAGTCCGAAGCCTAAGAATTTTTCTATGTACCTTGTCTGATTTTTTAGAGTTTTTTTTTGTTGAATTGTCTGAAATTTCAGCCTCATTTTATTCGTGTAGGCTGAGCCTCAGACTTGTATCGGGGGGGTGCACTCTGAAACTGGTAATACAGGGGTTTCCGCCAGCCTGGCGGCGTGTAGCACTAACACCGTCAATCACGGGCGGGAAACCAAATTTTCCCGAGCGCGGCACCACACAGTTGCGTTGGTATGCTGTAATCAGCTTCAATGCTATTATAACTATGCTTTTAAAACCAGGGTGCACATTCAATTGGATTTCTGTCAAAGGTTAACCTTTGACCTCGGGGTTACTCAGTGATTTAGGAATATCTGGGGGGAGTGTTCGCTTCAGCAGGTGAACATTTGAACCCTCGAGATTTGGCAAATGTATACCGAAGTCATCGAATGTGCTTCCGCCAATTCGTTTTCCCCCTCCCCATACCTATTCCGCTCCCACCGAAATTGTTTCCCCTTCCCCCACAATATCGTCTCACCCCCTTTCCCCTTTCCGCCAACCCAGTTGCCCTCCCCTTGATCCCCAATTTCTAGATCCAAGTGTTATCAATTTCTCCCCTGCCAAGCCTCATCTCTCACGGACGAAAAGCCCCATGCTCGCCCATTCTCAACTATTTATTCGCTACTCGTCAACCAATCAGCAGTTCCCGCAAACATGCCGCCCAAAATTTAGCCTGGAGTCGCGTTGAATGTGTACCCTGGTTTTAAGAAACTGCATGATCTTAAAATTTGAAGGTAACTCTGAGTCCCCAGCTGTGCTGGTGGTTATCCATTGGTTAAAGCAAGGGTGCACATTCCTGGGGGTGGTTTTTGGGGGCATTGTGAGTGTACACCCTCCGACGCAGGCTGATTCGCTGGCGAAATGTGTAGGGGTACGTGAAGCTGGTGCGAGTGTTTCAAACTTGGCTGACGAAGCCAACCTATCTCGCACAAAGTTGAGTTGGAGAGAACACGGGGAAAGGGCGGAAATGTGGCCGCGGGAGTTGCGACCAAGTGCGCGCTCTGCTATGTTACCGTCAATCTGATAAACCAACTCTACTCCTTTCAGAACTTGCTTCTAGCTAGACAGGCTAGTGAAGGGCCATTTCGCTACTTACTAATCTAACCAGAGCGCCACGCTCGCGACTGTCGAACGGTAAAGTCACCGGACTTCGTGACTGTCGAAGGTTTAGGACTGTGTCATCGCGAACAAATAGCGACGTCGCTGCTAGATCGCACAACGCCGTCGAGAGAACGGCGCGTCGGGTGACCCTTCTCCGCAGCCTCTTCCCCGTGTCGCGATGTCCCACTATGTGAACCCCTACTCGCCGGGTTTAGCCCGTGTCATCGGTTTGAGCCACCCCGGTAAACTCGTCCGCGCCCTGCTTCGCGCAATTGCCGTGCAACCTCCATTGCCGATGCCATCTGGCAGTGCATCGGCGAATCGCCGCCTCGCCTCGCGCATCTGCGGCCTCTCCGCCACATCGCCGCCTCATCGCCGTCACATCGCCGCCTCATCGCCGCCACATCGCCGCCTCATCGCCGTCACATCGCCGCCTTATCGCCGCCACATCGCCGCCTCGCCGCATCACCTCCTCATCGCAGTGACATCGCCGCCACGCCTCCGCAGCAAGTGATCGTCTCCCCATCGCCGCCCGAAAGCCTCGCCTCCTCCTCTTCGACGCCTGCCACATCGCCGCCTCCGGGGAAGAACCTGGAGATGCTTCTTTTGTCCCCATTCAGGTCCCCGTCCTCCTCTCTACGCAGTGTTTCCCAAGTCCTCCTCTCTCCCACTCTGCCCCACTCTTTCCCCCCTGTCCTCCACTACCCTGTCATCCTCTCTCCCCCTTGTTCTCCTATCCGACGGCTCCACGTGAGTGAGGACGGGCAGACGGGGACCCCTTGTCCCCCCGGCACGTTCAGTGAGGGCGGGAAGGGCCGTTGCACGCCCTGCTCTACCAACACCTCCAACCCCTTCCCCGAGGTGCTGCAGTCCTTCCTCACCAACACAACTGCTCACATGCATGGGCGCATGGGGTTGGGCGCATGGGGGGGATGGGCGCATGGGGGGAATAGGCGCATGGGGTTGGGCGCATGGGGGGGATGGGCGCATGGGGTTGGGCGCATGGGGGGGATGGGCGCATGGGGGGAATGGGCGCATGGGGGGAATGGGCGCATGGGGGGAATGGGCGCATGGGGGGAATGGGCGCATGGGGGGAATGGGCGCATGGGGGGGCTGGGCGCATGGGGTTGGGAGAATGGGGATGGGAGAATGTGTTCATGCTGCCATGACTCGAGAGATCTGCAGGCATGCTGGCCACAGCGGTGTCCACCACATGCCCACTCAACCCACCTCCACCACGGACCTCCCTCCTGTGTGTTTTGCTGCTGCATGGCACTTCCCTTCATGGCATGGCATGGCATGACATGGCATGGGATGGCATGGTGGCACGCATGGCAGGGAGCGGAATGGTCACTGCTGATCGGTATGGCTCGAACACCACGTCATTGCCAGGAAGCAGTGAGTGCTTCCTGGCTGATGCATGAGTGCCCCCCTATCTCCCCCCTGCCCTCCTCTCTCGGAGGTGTCCTCCTCTCCCCCCCCTGTCCTCTCTCTCATTCATCGCACCCTACTTGCTGTTTCTTGCCCTGCGACGCACATGTTTCCGCCATGTTTCACTCTCATCCCGTCCTCCCCTCTCGCATCCCCTCTCCCCTCTCTCTCTCATGTTGCCGGCACCTGAGCCATCTAATGCCCGCAGCTCCTTCTCCCCTCCTCGCTTTCCCACGCCTCCACATCCCTTCCATTCACACCACTCTCTGTAGACTCATTGTCCCCTGTAACTACAACCCCACCACAACGTCTCCCCTCACCCTTTCCCCTCTCCCGCATTCCTTCATCTCCTCCCCCCCCACCCCTCGCCAGGCCTTCACAATCGCCAACGAGCGGCTGCTCGACCTGACCCCAGACCAGGTGAACCTGCACGGGGGAGCAGTGACCCTAGGCCACACCATAGGCGCATCAGGGGCGCGTGTGCTCATGTCGCTGCTCTCCTGCCTCGCTGCCATGGATTTGAAGCGCGGCGTCAGCGATGTGCATCAGTGGCGGCAGTGCCACGGCAGTGGTGGTGGGGCACAGGCCGGGGCACTGGTAGCAGCAGGAGGTGTAGGCCAAGGAGTGAAGCGCCGTGCGCTGATGGCGTGGCCTGGTGGCGTGGAATGGGGTAGTGGTGTGGGCTGTCGGTGTGGTGTCGAGTCTTAGCTGCAGGCTGTAGGCATAGAGCTGTGTTTACGTCGGCTGTTGTGTGTTGAGAGGGTGTGGCGACTGATTCTGAACCCGGGTTGTACAATAGTCGATGTTTTGCCGAATCTAGCACTTCTGTAGGTGTGTAGCATGGAGGGATGCAATTAGAATGTATAATTTTATTGAACAAACTCAACCAGAATAACAAGGGCCGAATCACCATTGTTGAATCCATACTGAAAGGTGCTACGGTACAACTACGTTACCAAAGAATGGAACAAAGCAGTTCACAGGTAAGGCAGGTACCGTACATGCAAGTACGGTAGTCGGCAATTTTCACATGCAGGAATCTCCTGGATCCCGTTCCCCTGTGCAGCTCCCTCACTTCCTACCCTCAGCCACATGCTGCCGTGCTCCATCCTGCATGAATAACCCTTCCTCCCACAACCAGAATTTACATGGGAACTGGGCCCTTCCTCATCCACCTCCCCCTTCCCACTCACGCCCTTCTCCCCATGCGGTTGATGCTCAACACGACCACACTGCACTAGAGCAATCATCCTTGTCAGAACACCAGCATCAATGACAGCAGCCATCAACAAATCACACCATCAAGAGCTATGCCATAATACAACATTATGCCATGCCATGGCACACTACACCACACCACGCCACGCCACACCAGGCCATGTCGCCCTGCGCCATCTCACGCCACACCTCACCATATCACGCCAAACCGCGGGCTCAGTCGAGCGCCCAGGGTCAGCGCGGATCATATGTGAGGAAGAAGAGCAGCGCCACGTCCACGCGAACCACGACCACTGCGGGATGTCCCCCAGAAAGAACGGTTGCAGCCGCCGCTGGCTGCGCAGAAACGAGCGCTTCTCGTGCTCGATTTAGGACAGGGCAGAGAGGGGGGATAGGACAGGGAAAAGAGAGAGGGGTGGAGACATGGCAGAGTGAGGGGATAGGACAAGGCGGAGAGGGGGGGATAGGACAAGGCGGAGAGGAGGGGATAGGACAGGGCAGAGAGGGGGGGATAGGACAGGGCGGAGAGGGGGGGATAGGACAGGGCGGAGAGAGGGGATAGGACAGGGCGGAGAGGGGGGGATAGGACAAGGCGGAAAGGAGGGGATAGGACAGGGCGGAGAGGGGGGGATAGGACAGGGCAGAGAGGGGGGGATAGGACAGGGCGGAGAGGGGGGGATAGGACAGGGCGGAGAGAGGGGATAGGACAGGGCGGAGAGGGGGGGATATGACAAGGCGGAGAGGAGGGGATAGGACAGGGCGGAGAGGGGGGGATAGGACAGGGCAGAGAGGGGGGGATAGGACAAGGCGGAGAGGGGGGGATAGGACAGGGCGGAGAGAGGGGATAGGACAGGGCGGAGAGGGGGGGATATGACAAGGCGGAGAGGAGGGGATAGGACAGGGCGGAGAGGGGGGGATAGGACAGGGCAGAGAGGGGGGGATAGGACAGGGCGGAGAGGGGGGGATAGGACAGGACGGAGAGAGGGGATAGGACAGGGCGGAGAGGGGGGGATAGGACAAGGCGGAGAGGGGGGGATAGGACAGGGCGGAGAGAGGGGGATAGGACAGGGCAGAGAGGGGGGGATAGGACAAGGCGGAGAGGGGGGGATAGGACAAGGCGGAGAGGGGGGGATAGGACAGGGCGGAGAGAGGGGATAGGACAGGGCGGAGAGGGGGGGATAGGACAAGGCGGAGAGGGGGGGATAGGACAGGGCGGAGAGGGGGGGATAGGACAGGGCAGAGAGGGGGGGATAGGACAGGGCGGAGAGTGGGGATAGGACAGGGCGGAGAGAGGGGATAGGACAGGGCGGAGAGGGGGGGATAGGAGGCGGAGAGGAGTTGGGACGGAGAGGGGAGAGAGGACTGGGAAGGGGGGTAGGACAGAGGTGGGAGATAGAACAGGGAAGGGAGATAGAACAGGGAAGAGAGACAGAACAAGGAGGGGAGTTAGGAATGAGAGGAGAGGACAGGGACAGAGAGGGAATATATGACACGGAGGGTGGATAAAAACAGGTGCGGAACACAGGAGAAGGGGGGGGAGAGAACTGGCCGTCATCTGCGACCCCCTTCTCCCCCCTGGCCACGCGCACCTAGTAGAGCAGCAGCTTCTCCGCTGTCCAGCGCAGGTAGATCTGCGCGTTCTCCCGCTGGCGACGGCGCGCAAGGACGGTGCGGTGCTTGAGCGCGGGCGTGGCGCAGTCTAAGACGATGAGCGGGCGGACGCGCAGGAAGAGCAGCTTCCACACGCGCCGCAGGAAGCCCAGCACGTGCGCGCCCGGCAGCAGCTCTCCGCGCATGGCCTTGAGAAGCTGTAGTACCCAGATGCTCGCGTCTGTCCATGTGTCGCCGCGGGGGGATCGGGGCGGGAAGAGGCGTGATGGGGAAGGCGCATGGTTAGAACAGGCAACTGAGCCATTGATGCGGAACGGAGAGAGGGGCGTGTGCCGAAATGTGCATCAATGCTGCAATGAACAGTTCGATGTTACTCTACCTCAACGGCGCGACGCCGAGGGGAAGGGCGTTGCGATGCCGAAGGGAGAAGCGAGTCACTGCGGGGGCGAGGGGAGAGGCGCCGCGATGGTGGGAATGGAGGCGATTCGCTGAAATATTCACCAAGGCGCTTCCGTCTGGTGATCATCAGCGTTTCTGCACTCTGTTAGGCCTTGTGCCCACGTTTCCTCACTTGCTGTAGACTTTGCTTGTACTGTGATCTACATATACCTGCATGCTTGCTCTGCTAGGTAGAGATCACTGTGCTGTTGTTGTTGCATATATACCCCTGCATGTAAACTGGCCTTGTGGCCCTTTGCTTGTGCTCAGTGTGTGTGGTGACGTTGTGATCCACCCTGAGCTTGCTTTGCTTCTCTTGACTGGTCTTGTGACCCCTTGCTCTCCCCCACTTTGCCTATGGGGGTGTGTCAAAGCATATGCTTGTTATATATGTGTAGGCTGTAGTGGGGTAGCCAAGATGGGGTACAGCCCCTTTTTAGGGTTTCATACTTGTACCCAACACTAATGCTCTGTTGTTGGCGGTGCGCTGGAGTTGTGGTTGCTAGCAATATGTGTCAGGGTACGAGAGTCGAGCTTGTCAGAGTTCACATACTGCCTGGTTGTGACTCAAGTTCCCAACTCCCATTTGGCCCATCGCAATTGACGAGAGGGGAGAGACAACCCGCGCAAGTCCGCCAACTCTGAAGATTGTTTCGCGTCGGACTCCCCAGACAAACACGGTAACCACGTGGAGGCAAGTGATAAACCTTTGCCTCCACCCCCTCCAAAGTGCACCCTTGCTTTAAGTAGTTGGGCCAAGGGATGTTGTTGGGGGCTTTGAATTGTGGCCCTTTCTCGGCCAACAAGGAGGCCATGCCATGCCAGGGCCTGCGAGGCACAAGGGGTACCACTTGGCCGACCCCTTCCCATAACAGTCGATTCCAGCGCCCTGATTCGGATTTCTGCAACCTTCTTCTCGTCGTTTCGTCCCCGCCCCGCATAAAGAAAAAATTTCGCCGCACCTCAAAATTTCGCTAAACCGGCGAATGAGTTGGCACAGACAGATCAATGACAGCGGTGTGATCAGGGTTACAGAGTTATTAGTTCGTGTTTCCGTTCCGTCCGTGCGCCAAAGGGTCAGCTCAGCCAGCCCCTCGCCACCTTTGCACTGGGGCGGAGTGGTACTGCCTGTGCCTCGCATCCCCCTCGGAGTGTGTGAAAGTGTGGTAAACCTTGCCTCGGGCATTCTTCTCGTCGCGTAGCGCTGCCCCGGGGGCGGCACCGCCAGCGCTACTATTTACTTCGTCACAGTTCGACGTTTAGGACGAGAGGAAACTTCAGCACTACTATTTACTTCGTCACAGTTCGACGTTTAAGACGAGAGGAAACTTGATCCGCACACCCACAGGCGCTTGGGGCGTTGTGTGTGTTGTGTGCCTTGGTGTCGACGCGCCTCCGCCTTTCCCCGCCCCCTTGTGAAAGAGCGCCTTCCCCGTTTCATCCCTAATGGTGTCGCTCGGCGACCATCACGAAAACAGGCGGGACTAACTGCCGACGCACTCGGGGTTGAATGGAACTCCGCCGAGTCTCAGATCCGGAAGCTGGAAGCTGCGCCATGCCATGCCGCTGTTACCAGCACTCGCAGCCCCTCCCAGAGTCCCACGATTCAGAACCCTCTCAGGCTGGAGCGACGGAGCAGCAGTGGTATAATATTGCCTGCCCCATCACAACTCAGGAGCACCAGAGTAGAGTTTTCTTTTAGATCGTGGAACTACGTGACGTTCTTCGCCCCTTCCCATCCCGAATTATTTCAGATAATTCCTCGGCCTCTCAGTTTGTTCTGGATCGAGTACCGACATGGAGCGCGTGACACCTCTTGTCTTCGCCCTGCTTTGTAAGCCGCTTACCACTCTCCCGCCGATCTGTAAGCCGCTACCACTCTCCCGCCGATCTGTAAGCCGCTAGTACTACTCTCCTGTCCTTTTTCTCCTTCCCGTGGTGATGGCTCATGAATCGCGGAAACGTCAGCATCCAACCAGGCCAACAGCGGCAAACCCTAAAGCAGTGGCTGTCAGTTTTCGTGTCATCGCTCGCCCCTAACGATGCTCCTTCCTCGCGCGCGCTGCCTTGCCCGTCAGGTGCGGCGTTCTTCACTGCCGCCGCCGCGTCTGCCTCAATCTTCCCGCCATTCCTTGCACCCCACGGCAGTGCTCCAGGCGCCGCGTCTGCCGCTCAGGCCGTCAAGCCCTTGGTGTGGAAAGGGAAGACCGTGAGTAAGTGTTCGACCCGCAGCGCTGCTCTTTGCCTCTTGGTCGCTGCTAGTACACCGGCGGTGGTGCTACTCCTACTCTTACTGCTGCTGCTGCTGCTGCTAGTCCTGGCCTTCCACATCCTTTCCCATGTGCCCTTATCCTTCCCATGCGCCCTTATCCCTCCCATGCGCCCTTACCCCTCTCTGCGTCCCTTGTCCCTCCCATGCGCCCTTATCCCTCCCATGCGCCCTTATCCATCCCTGTGTCCCTTGTCCCTCCCTGTGTCCCTTGTCCCTCCCTGCGTCCCTTATCCCTGCCAATCCCCCCATTGCCAGTAAAGTGGGTGGCAAAAATGCTTCCCACTAAGGTGAACGGCAAGGTGGTTGGCGACAAAGGCGCAAGGGGGAAATATGTCATGAAGGGTGTGAGGTGCGCATCTGTGCGAGTGCTATCTGCTGGTTCTATTGTTCCATGCAATTCAATGCAGTGCACTCACTCGGGACTCATATCAAACCGGAGAGCCCCTGGTTTTGCCACTGACCTCCATCCCCACCCACCCACTTTCCCCCTTTCTTTCCTCTCCCCGCCCCCCCTCCCCCCAAATATCCCCCCTCATCTCCCCATCTCCCGCTCCCCCATCCTCCTCCCTCTCCCCCTCCCCACTCCTCACCCCCTCCTCACCTCCACCCCTGCGCCTCCCCGTCGCGGCCATTCCCTTGCGTTCCTTGTTTGCAGGTACTCAGCAACAACATACTATGTCGTGTACGGTGCTTTCATGATGAAGATGGGATCGGGAGGCAAGTCGCCTTACCTAGCCACAGGAACCTCCTGCGCTGGCGACGTGACGAGTGGCGGCGGTACGTGGATCAACATCACAAGTGACAAGAACGGCCGCCACAAGCGCTACAGCTTCACGTCTATTCTCACTGTTGGACCGAAGTCTCTGGCTGAAACGCGTAGCACGATCACACAGGGAATCAAGCAGGCAGGCTTTTACATGAAAGTTGGGCATCAGAACAACTTTCATGCACTGTGCGGGAAGCTCAAGAAGGTGAAGGGTTAGTGTGATGTGCTGGCCTGGCTTGGCTCTGTTTGGTTCGGATGCATTTTTTCTGTGGGCTGGCTCGCTTTGGTACTGATTGCTAGCGTTCATGTCAGGTAGCAAATGAGGATTAGGTTTGCATGGCTGAACTGCTGAGAAACCATTTCTCTTATGAAGGATGAATTTGAGGAGTTGCTAGCTGGCCCATGCTCTTGTGCGCCTAACCTGGGCATGGGGCATGTGTGCGTGTCTTTGCCGCACATGTACCGGTAAGTTTGCAATTTGCAATCTGCTTTGACGAGATTCCTTGGCATTGTAATCTTCACCAGATATAATCCAGAAAGCACTCATCATACGGTAGACACGGCGATGTAGTATGAGGTTGCAGAGTCCCTGCCACGGAGGGCTTTTTAAAACCGAAATGCAAAATAGTGAACCCCGACCCAGCTTGAAAAAGTGCTGCGACGAGAGAAAGGGATCGGGCCAACATAGCACTGTACCACACAACAAAAGTGTTCAGATCGAACAAATGTGATTGGCTAGCGCCGAAAGGAACTTTTCTGGGCTCCCGCCAAAAGGAACATTCACCCATCGCATCTCTACGTGCTGGACCCTCACGACCGTTGCAGGCGATGGTTTTGGTCGCTAGGCCCAACTCTAGTTTCAAGCTGGAACTGGGTTCACAACTCTGTTTAGTTCTCCACTAGTCACTACTTCTGTGCATATCTAAGTTAGCTGAAATCTTAGTCGTTTTGTGTCCCAAGCCCAGCGCGACGTAGTTCGAGTGTGTTCTCTATCGACTTAGCTTGGGTACGCAATGTAATACATACACCACTAGCGTAACGTTAGTATTTCCGTGGCGCGCAACGTCAATATCCCGTCACCCTCGACTACTCCCGCTCTGTCAAAGCATATGCTTGTTATATATGTGTAGGTTGTAGTGGGGTAGCCAATATGGGGTACAACCCCTTTTAGGGTTCCATACTTGTACCCAACTCTTTCATAGTTCAATCATTCTTGCTGCTAGATTCTGACATGGTTTCAGAGCACTAGGTCCGTAGGACCGTTTTTTTTCTCGGGCCCACCTACCGTTGCGGTTACCGCGTTACCCCACGTGTTGGCCTGCCTGCCTGCCTTGCCTTGTGACGTGCTGCGCTGCGGACGCCGTCCTGCAGCCCTCGTGCTGCCTACTGCTGCCCTAGGCCAGAGCGCCGCCCCTGCAGGCCCGTAAGGCCCACGCGCTCCACCTGCAGACACGTCATGCCTGCGAGCCGCCCCTACAGGCCCGTCAGGAAAGGGCGCCGCCCCGCCAGATCGCTGCCCCGCGCGTCACGCCCACAGCCCGCGCGTCGCGCTGCAGCCCCGCGCGTCGCGCCCACAGCCCGCGCGTCGCGCTGCAGCCCCGCGCGCCGCGGCTGTCGTCCTCGCGCAGCCCGCGGCGGCTTTGCGCGCCGCGCCCGCTGCCCGCGCGTCCCGCTGCAGCCCCGCGCGTCGCGTTCGCTGCCCGCGCGTCGCGCTGCAGCCCCGCGCGCCGCGGCTGCCGTCCTCGCGCAGCC